AGAGAGATACACACATTCACACACACATATTGTCCCACACAAATACACACGCATACATATACACAAGAAGTCAATAGCTTTTCTCTTTGATCTATAAAGAGAAATAATATTTCATTTATAATAGGAACAGAAACCACAAATTACATTGAAATAAATTTAATCAGAAAACTACATCTATTTGAAGCAACATTATAAAATCATTTTGAAAGACATAAAACAAGACCTAAAGAAATAGAAAAGTATACCATATTCTTGGATGAAAAAAAAATAATATCAAAAATGTCAGTGTGCCAAAAGTAACAAATAAATTCCAGGAAGTTCAAATTAGAATACTAATGGGAATACTAACACAGTTTCTATTGTTTGCTTGTTTTTTAATCAAATAAAAAATATTGAAGTTGAAATGTGTTACCCAGAAATAGATAAGGAAAGCATGAAATAAATAAGCACTCAGGTGAACTTGCCTTACCAGTTGTCAGAATCTTTAATCTCATATTAGTCAGGATGAGCTATCACATGGCAAGTAAAAAAATCTAGGAGACTGTCTGAAAAAAGCAGGATTTGGGGAGACTTTTTTAAAGCAAGACTGGAAACTCCAAATGCTTTTAAAACAAATGTAACTACATAAAAATTGTTTTTATTTTTGTGAGAAATACGTAAGTTCAAGGGAAACATAACAGTATTAGAAAAAAGATTTGAAATATTCATGACAGGAAAAGTGTTTATAACTACAGTATACAAAGAGCACTTAGGAAAAAATGACTAGAAAACAATCCAACAGAAAAGGGACAACGGATAAGAATGACAATTTAGAGAAGAAAAAATCCAAATAGCTAAAAGAAAGTCTTTTAAAAAGTTCAAATTCTCTAGTAGTCAGGAAAATGTACATAATAGCAATGTTATAGTATATTATATTACAGCCACCAGACTGACAAAACTAACAGGCTTACACTTTTTTTGAAAGGCAACCTAGCAACATTTAAATATAAATAGAAATATACAACACACAAACACATATAATATAAATATAACACATTACTCAGCATTTCCACTTTGAATCTTCCCATAGAAAGAAAACATCAGGCTGTAGAGACATAGGTAAGGAATGCTTATTGCAGTGTTGTTTTTAGAGACAAAAAGTGAAAACCAAGTGAATTTTCATGAATATGAAAATGAGTATATAAATTGTGATGCATCCACACCATAAGAATAATATTTAGCAACTGGAAAGAATGAGTTAAATCTACACCTGTTGACTGAAGCGTTTGAACAAAGTTTGGAGTGAGAAACACAAAATGCAAACAACAATGAAAATCCTATATTTGCATTTACATCTGTGAGTATTGTGCGTGTGTGTACTTCTGTCTATATAGTATTAAAGACCCTGGACAAATAAGGAAGGATTTATACCACACTGTCAATAGGATTTACATTGAGATGGGTGGTGTTATGTTGTGTGTCAAGGAGAGAGGTCTGCAGAAAGAGGAGCCAAAGGATTTAAAAAAAAAAAAAACAGCCTCTTGGAGGAAGGTAGCATGAATAGAATTTTATCTATACATTTGTGCAAAGTTATCCCCATGTGTGAAAGAAAGCCATTACTTTATTATAGATGGGACAATGCTAGAGAAGGTGCCTCCTCCTACCGTGTGTGAACTGAGAACATCTTCTTCTGCTACTGCATGGCTGAGGCTTGTTTTTTTATTCCTTCAGTTGTGAGCCCATCATGAGTATGCTCTGCTTTTTTGTAGGCAAGAAACTAACTTTGGTAAGTCATAAGTACTCCTAGGGTATGGCTACTAGCCATGAATAACCCAGAGCAGAAAAGAGCAACCCAGGCCAGCCTCATCAACACTGCAGGGCTGAGAATGCAGAGTCCTGATGGCCCCTGTAAGGAATTCAGATATTAGTCTAAGTGAGCGGGCCAATCTTTTGTGGGACTCTAAGCAGAGTGACGTGGTTTGACTTATCAGTCCACCGCCTAGAATATTCTCCTTCCTTCTGCTCTCAGCCTCTTCCCATCCTAAATCATTCTTCAGGTATCTTCATGGATGAGATTTTCTTCCCTCTACCCTGATTCCCGTCATTGTCTAGGTTAAGTGGCCGCCCTCCTCTCTCACAGGGCCTGGAACCTTTGCTCATCATAATTCTGCCCGTTCTGGACAGACAGTGGCCTCTTTCTCTTTCACTAGACTGCTGGTGCTTTACCCCCTCTTGTCAGGTGTGGGGACCATTTGGCAGGTGAGTGTTCCGTGGCTTTTGGTTCCCAGTCCCAAAGAATGGCTACTGGTACCGAGTTGATAGAGCAAACCAGCAGACCAAGCAAATTCCCAAAGTTTATTAAAGCATGGTATCTTCCAGAGAAGGAATGGCTCCACCCCCAAGAGCGGAGGAGACCCTGAGTTTAATAAGAATTTCTCCTTTTATGCTGATTCCCTAATTTTATGGTTAGTGGGGGATGGAATATTCATGGATTTTCTCAGAAAGGGGCTGAGAATTGGGAGCCCTTCCTATTTTTAACCTTGTAAGGCAATTTCTGGGGGTTGCCATGGTATTTGTAAACTGTCATGGAGTGGGTGGGTGCGATGTTTTCTATGTTAATGAGAGTAGGTCACTTGGGGATACTGCCGTCACCTTACTTGCAGGCATGCTCCAGAGACCTTCATTTGTGGCCTTGATCATATCCCCACTTTGTGGCCTTTCGACTTCTTTCTGGTTGGCCAGTCCTTGGAGACCCCCTATCATAGACCAAATATCTGTTTAATCCTTGAAAGCCCCCTTGACATATCATCTGTTCCTTCTTGGAAGCCCGCCTTCCGGTCAATTTATTCCTCCTATTGTAGACAAGGCATCTCCTAGTTTCATCAATTCCTCAGTGGAAACCCCCTAGACAAAGCATCTGTCCGCCTTCCTCCTAGTCCCAACCTAACACTCCCTCTCAGGACAGGACCTGGTTCAAGGCATCAACTTGCTCTACTAATGAAAGATAAATGGGTACGTGTTTACTTTTTAGCTTTTATTTTGTATTTGTTTCTTTTATATTTAGCTTTTAATGTACGTTACATATTTAGGTTTTATCCTATTGCTTTTCCCCACCCCTCTCCCGCCCCAAGCATTGAGTAAAGTTTCTCTTGGAAATGCCAACCTGACTCCATTGAACAGGGAGAAAGAGGGAAAGATAGCTTTGTAGAGCTTGGGAGGAAAATTTAAAGGTGGGCAACCCTCACCCCACCCGCAGCCCCTGCTTTCTCTTCCCCCTCCCCCGCCCAGCTCTGTGAGGCGGTGGGAGCAGCAAGGAGTGGTCCGAGGTGGAGGAGGCGTTCCTTTCCACGAACACCTCCTCCGCCGCTGCTCTAAATAAGGGGGCGCTGTTCTGTTCAAGGCATCTCTGGAGTTTTCTCTGCAAGGTTTAGGGGTAGTAGAGGACTGGGCAGAGCAAGGTGCATTTCCTATATAAGCTGAAATCCCAGGCTCCAATAAAACCAGAGTGAACCGGCAGCTTCCCTGCCCCGACAAGGGGATCCGATTTTAACCTGGCGTTAAGTCAACACAATAAATTTCCCAGCCTTAAAGCGCTTCCCGAGGGACACTTTGAGCGCTCGCCATGCTAGTGCGTAAACGCTGCTCCCGGGAGGGTGCCGGCGGAAGCCAGTCCCAGCCACTGGGGCCGTTCCCAGCGGGTCTGTGCTATGCATCCCCGCCAGAGTCCCGCAGTCCTGAGAGGAGGTGGAGCGGGCAGCGGGAGTAAATGAGCCCCTGGAGGATTCTGAAGGTTCGATTCCCTGCGGAACCGCATCGCCTGGGGAAAGTCCGGCTGGAGCACACTCCGGAACTCAACCCATCTCAGATTCTCTGAAAGGCTTCACACAAACCGGAGAGTTTTACCCCACCTCCCAGTGCTCCGCACCAGCCCGACCGCTTGAAGTGGCCTTGCAGTGGAAGACACGGCCTCAAAGTCCCCCAGGGCCGGCGCGGGACAGGGTGGAGAGAGAAGGCGGGCAGACCTGCCCTGCTCTCCAGTCCCTACGCAAACCTGGAAAGGACCAGGGGGAAGAGTCCCCGACGCCACCCCGGACCCCGTTGTAGCCTGCAGGCCGGAGAGGCGCGGCGGAGGAGGCTACTTGGTCCCCGGAAGGCGAAGGCAACGCCGCAGTGGGTGCTGGCGGAGAGCCCAGAGTCGCGCGCGTCTGGGCGACACGCTGCCTATGGTCTGCTCCTGCGCTCAGCAAGCTTCGCAGGGAGCCCAGCCCAGTCCCCAGTGCTTGCGCAGAGGGTTCATCTGGAGGGCTCAGATGAAGCTTTTTCTGGAGCTAGGGGCCAAGTCACCAGGGTGGCCGAGGAAGGTGTCCCCAAAGCTTATAACCTATCATTGCTTCCGAGGGAAATCTGCCCGCGAGGGAAAGAAGCCAGGTTTTTGAAGGCGTGTTTCCTAAATACGACTTCAGTAAAGTTGTTTCCCGAACACCTGGAACCTGGAGTTGCCTCCTCTTGCTACTCGGTAGCAGCTGGAGCTAGCCTGCGGTGCGCTCTGGCTGGAGCGCAGCCGGGAGCGCAGCGCTGGCACGTCGCCCCCACGTTTGCCAGACTCCCATTGCCACAGGCAGGCGCCTCTGCAGAACTGTCGCAGGGCTCTGGGCTACCCTCCCTGGAAGTTGAGTGTCCTTCACTCCAGCTGTTTCCCAAACGCTTTCCTCACCCCAGCACTGCTGGTGCAACTGAAGTTCCAGTTGCAGACCCCAGCTGCTCAGTTACTCCCAGGGCACCTACTGCCCCCTCGCGGAATGCGTGGGACTCCCGGCTTGCAGACGCCCACAGCAGGTAGCAAACAGCAAAAGGCGTGGTGGCTGCGGCGGTGGAGTGAGACAGTTGCCAACAGCTGGCGCAGCTGCCGCGCTGCGCACGGGGACTGGCGAGTACGCAACTCAGGTACTGCCCCTTCGCGGTGACGTCTCTGCAGCGAGTTATAAAAGCCTGGTGCGCAGCCTGCTGAGGTTCTGCTAACTCCCGAGCTGAGAGGTGCTTGCGAAACTGCAGGCGGCGGCGGCGGCGGCGACAGCGAAAGCGAAGGAAAAATCTCAAGCTGGAGCCGGGGCCCCAGAATCCTGGCCATCCACTTAGAACTTTTACAGGTCGCGCCGTGAGGGCTCCGCTCCGCCCCCTTTGCTCCCAAGTCCTCACGCAGAACAGGGCTTTGCCTTTCCCGCCGCAGGAAGGGAAAATAGGGGAGTTGCAAGCAGCAGCAGGTGCAGAAAGACGGGGGTCTCTTGCTTCCTAGAATCGTGACTGGTGCAATTCTTTTCCTCTTCCAATTTAACGCAGGAGAGACGCTGTCTCCAGATTTCTGAACTCAGACGCTTCCTGAAGCTTGAAAGTGGAGGAATTCAGGGGCAGACAGCAGCACATCTTGAAGTGTTTATCTTCTGAGCAGCAAGCCCTGCTTCCAAAAAGAGTTCTGCCAAGAAAGAGCCTTCTGCCCTCTTGTCTGACTTAAGCTGGACCCTGAGCCTCAAGGGCCTGCCTCAAGACTCTCCTGCAAAGGGGGTGTGTGTACAAAGAGGAGGACTTTACCGCCTACCTGCAAAATGGACAACGTCCTTCCGATGGACGCAGACCTCTTCCCAAACATCTCCACTAACACCTCAGAGCCCAACCAGTTCGTGCAACCAGCCTGGCAAATTGTCCTTTGGGCGACTGCCTACACGGTCATCGTGGTGACCTCCGTGGTGGGCAACGTAGTGGTGATGTGGATCATCTTGGCCCACAAGAGAATGAGGACAGTGACCAACTATTTCCTGGTGAACCTGGCCTTCGCAGAGGCCTCCATGGCTGCATTCAATACAGTGGTGAACTTCACCTACGCTGTCCACAACGAGTGGTACTACGGCCTGTTCTACTGCAAGTTCCACAACTTCTTCCCCATTGCTGCTGTCTTCGCCAGTATCTACTCCATGACGGCTGTGGCCTTCGATAGGTGAGCTTGCCTTTTGTGCAAAAGGAAGAAAGTTCATAGACAACCATGGCATAGCTGTGAAGTTTTGGGGCTAGATCATTATATGGTCCAAAGGGAAAATGGGCTCACTCATGCCCTGGGGTTTTTACTGACAGTCTAAGTAGTAGTGAAATAAATGAGTCAGTTGTTGATGGGGAAATTTATTTTACTTAGCTTTTTTCTTACTCTTTTTCACCCATTGCCAATCTCCTTTCCTCTCTACACATACTCTTCTTCATTTATCTCCCCTTTCTTCATCCTTTATCCACATCTTCCTGACTCTTTCTTTTCAACTCCTGCTTTTCTCCCTCCCATGTATTCCTTCTCCCCTTTACTCTTAAAGCCCGAAAGTGATATTCAGGGCTCCTGGTTCAGGCTTTGTCAATTCCTCCAGGCCTGCTCTTCTGTTGGGCAGCCTCTTGTTGCCTTCGTGTTTTAATTATGCCTGGGCAAAATACCTCATTTTTCACTTTTTCCTGAAGATTCTGGGACTTTCTGGTCCCACTTCAACTCTCCAATATTGTTTAGATATAAAGAGCATTTCATCAGAATCATAAAATACTTAGGATTCTAATTCAGCTCCCTCTATGCTGCTAGGAGTTCTCATTCAGGAATGAGAGGCAGCTACAATGTGCTTAGGGAACTCCACAGATACAGATCCAGGGAGCTTACCTGAGAGGTTTCCTGAATTTCTCTTGCAATGTAAGGTCAGTGTTTTTAGCCTGTCTGTATCCACAGAGAAACGTGCTTGGCAAAGGCAATTGACAAGACTTCCTTTCCTGCAACCAACAGGGGTTTCAGAAGCTGATTGAAAGTGATAAGTTTGACATTTTCAAATACCGGGGCTCTTCAGGTATCATGATGGAAAATTGACTATTGGTATTGACTCTCGCGTAGGTGTTCTAGGTCTTTAGTGTGTATGTCTCTGTGTGTGCACAGGTGTTAAATGTCTACCTGGAATGTGGAGGTATGTTTTAAACACCTGCCATTGTGGATTCAGTTGATGTCCTTGCTGAGATAAATGAATGTGAGAAACCCGAAGAAGAAGCAAGGAGAAAACTTCAGCAAATAAATTCCCCAACTACTAACCCCTTTTGCATAAAGATTATTTGTGACTTGCAATAATTGATTTGAGCTTTTTCAGCTTCTGCATTCAATGAACACTAAAAATCAGGGAAATCTATACTTCCATCCTTTGCAGTGGTGTCCAAATGCTGATTTGTTAGTTCCATGCACATCTCCCTTTATCCGATCCTAATATGCTTGATATGTCATATGTAAAACAGTTGTGCTGAATCAATTTATCTTTTACATGTAGAAAGTAAACTCACTACTCAAAGTAGTCGTGAAATAAAGTATTTTGTAAATGTATCTTTATGCTACTCTGGTTTTTAGATACTCAGTTTGCTGAAAGTGAGGTATACCTGTAAATCTTTCTGCATTGACTTGCTACTTTAATCTTACAGCAGCTTCCTTAAACTTAAAAAAAAAATCTATGGCATAGCATATAACTGAATATCCAGGCAGTGAAACCTGATGCCATTCATCCTTATACATGTTTTCTTGTTGATCCCTAAATTAGAGAGAAAAGGTTTTTTTGTTTTGTTTTGTTTTGTTTCTGTTTTTTGTCTTGCTTTTTTGCTGCATTGGGGCCTTGCACAGCTCTGGGAATACCTGTCGTTCAGTGTGAGCTGAAGCATTCCACAGCTGGTGGAGCATCAGCAGATAGCTCTGTCCCTTGGCTTATACAGAAACATGTTCCACAGCCCTGCTCCTTCCCCTGGAACTTAGAAGGGCTGGGGAAGGGATTCAGGTCAGAGTCTTCACAGTGGATTGGACAGGAAGCCAGATTTCAGCTCCACTGTTGTTTTTCACTAGGTAAATCATGGCAGGACCCTGATCCTCCATGACACCTGCTCAGTGAAATCAGAAGGTCTCAGATGCCAGAGCTTCGGGAACTGACAGCAGTGAGAAATGTCCCTGAGTTTCTAATATACAGATACAGCCCAGGGAAGTTATCAATGGGTAGAGTTGGGGCTGAGGCTTCAGGTCTCTATCTTCACGTCCTCCAAGTGCTCCCTTTTTCCTTGCTCAGCCTGGTGAACACACCATGAATTCATCCCCTCTACCGACTGTATCCACCACATGGGTGGTCATCCATTCTCTCCCAAGAATAGTTTAGAAAGAAAGGGGGCCTTAAGTTCTCTCCATATGAATTTTCTCTCCTTTTCTCCATGTAAGTCTACATGGAAATGCACACTTAGAGGAATTGCTAAATTAGCTTTGTGTATGTTCCTTGAATTTTTAATGGACAACCTTTGAATCAAGTCTTAAAAAATAACAGCATTGTGGTTTTCCTGATTGTAAAATTAAACCTTGTTCATTGCAGAAGACTTGGGAAATATAAAGAGTGTAGACACAAAAATACAAATCACCATTGACTCACCATCCCAAAATAACACCTGTTAACATTTGTATTTCTGTTTTATGAATATTACACTACATAATGGAGGTCAAATTCTCTATGATTTTGTAGCTTACTTTTTCTCATTGATGTTAATGGAAAATATTAATATTTTCCCATTTATTAAAAAGACTTCATAAGCATAATTTAATGGCTTCAATTATTCCAGGATGTGAATATGCTATTATTTACTTAGCCATTTCCCTATTTTTGGGTATTTAGGCAATTCCTAGATTTTTTGCTGTTATGATTAATGCTATAATGAACATTTATATATGATAATCTTGTTTTGCCTTCTCAATTTTTTTTCTTGGGATAGATTCCAAGAAGTGGAATTCTTGGATCAAATGAGATGAATTTAAAAAAAAAAAACAAAAACTCTATCTTCTAATTTTAAAGGATTTTTAAAGGAGTTGTTGGGTGGAACTATCTCAGTAAGCTTTGTCTAATTTCCTTCTAGAACTAAAATGTACATAGAGAAAGAAATTTTAGCTGCACTTTGCAGTACAAATTGAAATGTTTTCTGTAGCTTGTCATAAATAGAGGGCCAGGGGTTTAAAGTGAGAGAAAGAGAGGAAGGAAAAGGAAAAGATACCCCTTCAAAAAAATATTTATATGTTAAAGGCAGTGATTATCTGGAATAAAGAAAGTTTCAAAGACAAATATAGCTCAGTAAGATCACATCTACCTCTATTTAAATTCCAACAAACACCAGGGATTTTACCTATTGAAACTCTGTACTTTCTCCCATCTAAGATTTTAAAATTCTTTCCTACTGTAAAAACCAAAAGGTATGTATGGCGTTTCATGAAATTTGAAGACCAGGAACACTGAGAGGCGACACACCCAGTTTTCAGGGGTCAGTGGCAATGACTGGTTCTGTTGTGGTGCTGAGGCCCCGCATGGTGGAGCAGAAACTGAGAAGGAAGGAGCAAGAAGCCCCACAGGAAGGGTGAAGGGGCAACAGGTAATATGACTTGGAGCCATGCGCTTAGCAACAGGAGGCTCAGAAAGCACTGGCCTGGTGTCATTGCTTCTCTGCCTGGTAGGGACAGGCTTAATTTCAGTGAGACAAAAGGTAAAGGCTACTCACTACTCAGACTAGTTCTGGATACATCATGTTTGAATGAAAGGAAACATCCAAGTAGGGATGGTCTCCCGAAAATTTGAGATATGGTCAGGATCCAATATAGTTGCCCAGATGGGAGTAGCACTTGAAGGCAAAAGAGGAAATGAGCTGAGAGAGTAAAAGAGGAACCTGAAATAAAGACATGCATAAATAACAAAATGTTGCCCACTGACCCCTGGTATCCATTCCACTCTGTCCCAGCCGTACCTAGCTACCAATGTCAGTAGCCTGCTTCCCAGGTCTCTACTAGACCTGCCATCTGTCCTTGAACCTTACCTTGTTGGCTGGATACCCATCCTATTGTCTATCTCAGAATAGACCTTCCTCACCCCACCCAGAGGCAGGGCTTGGATTCCAGGATCCTTTGCACTAATTTAGTTGGATCTAGAAACCTATTACTAAGCACCCCTGTGAAGTTGAGAACTGTCTTTACCATATAAAAACTTCAAATGTCAATGTTGATGTGGATCACAATGGAGGGTTTTTAAAACTGTATTTATTTGTATTTATATTTTTATTTTCTTTTTTTATTTCAGAATATTATGGGGGTACAAATGTTTTGGTTATACAGATTGCTTTTGTACTGCTTTAATCAAAGTTGTAAGTGTGCCCATCACCCAGATAGTGTACATTTTACCCATTAGGTATTGAGCATTTTGCATCTTGCATGGGTCATTTAGGTGTCAGGACCTTTCCTAGAGAGGATCAACATCCACCTCCTCTCTGGAGTTGCCCTACCACACTCGCCACACTCTCCCCCTACTCCTGGGAGTCTGCAGTGTCCTGAATGGTCAAGGCTGATGGGTTTTTTTTTTTAACTGGCAGAATCATAGGTTAATTGGGGGAAAATAAAGAGTAATTCTCAAAATAAAAGTACATAATACAATCACAAGTCTTTGTTACTATTATTGTTGTTGAATTAGGAAATAGTAGAACAAGGATCATAGGGAAAAACATTCACTGTTAAACTTAGACAAAGTATTCAATCCATCAAGTGCTGATGCCACCAAGGTAAAGTGGTATTTCCTAACTCAAAATTTCAAAGGGCTTATGCTGTGTATTTGGGCAAAGCAGACTGATTTAGAGGTGATTGCAATTTAAGGTATTGAGTGATATGTTTCATAGGGATTGTATGGACACCTTCTATAGGACAGAAGAGGAGGAGATCATGCCCAGTGGTGGTGAATGATTGAGGAAGACCTCAAAAGGTGGAAATGGAGTTGGGCCCTAAAGTTTAAGTAAGATTTTTAAAGAGGATGATAAAAAAAATGGTGGCATTCCAGGTAGAAGAAACTGTATGAGAAGAACACAGAGGTCAAAAGTTGCAAAGTATTTGAGGGAATGACAGGTTAATTCAACAGAAGTGAATTCACAAATGAATGGAGGAGT